GACTTTACTTCCATCACCAGACACATCCACAACTGGGTGTTGTTTTTGCTTTGGCTCCGTCCCTTCATTTTTCTGGAGTTATTTCTCCACTCTTCTCTAGTAGCATATTGGGCATCTACCAACCTGGGGGGTTCATCTTTCACTGTCCTATCTTTTTGCCTTTTCATACTGTTCATGGGGTTCTCAAGGCAAGAATGCTGAAATGGTTTGTCATTCCCTTCTCCAGTGGAACACATTCTGTCAGAACTCTCCTCCATGGCCCATCCGTCTTGGGTGGCCCTACATGGCATGGTTCACAGTTTCATTGAGTTAGACAAGGCTGTGGTCCATGTGATTAGATTGGTTAGTTGTCTGTGATGGTGGTTTTCAGTCTATCTGCCCTCTGATGGTGGAGAAGGCAAAGGCACCCCACTCCAGTACTCTTGCTTGGAAAATTCCATCAGTGGAGGAGCCTGGTAGGCTGCGGTCCATGGGGTTGCTAAGAGCCGGACACGACTGAAGTGACTTAGCAGCAGCAGCAGCCCTCTAATGAAGAAGGATAAGAGACTTATGAAAGCTTCCTGATGGGATAGACTGACTGAGGAGGAAACTGGGTCTTGTTCTGATGGGCGGGGCCATGCTCAGTAAATCTTTAATCCAATTTTCTGTTGATGGGTGAAGCTGTGTTCCCTCCCTGCTATTTACCTGGTGCCAAACTATGGTAGAGGTAATGAAGATAGTGGTGACCTGTCTCAAAAGAACCCAGGCATGTACTGCTACACTCCATGCCCCGAACCCTGCAGCAGGCCATCACCGACCTACACCTTCACCAGAGACTCCCAGACACCCACAGGCAAGTCTCCTGTGGGGTCACTGATCCTTTATCCTGGGTCCTGGTGCACAAGGTTCTGTTGTGCCCTCCAAGAGTCTATTTCCCAGTCCCATGTAAGTTCTGGCAGCTCTACAGTGGGGTTAATGGTGACCTCCTCCAAGAGGATTTATGCCATACCCACACCCAGAACCCCTGGCCCTGCAGCAGACCACTGCCAACCCGTACCTCCACTGGAGACACTCAAACACAATTCTGTCTCTGTCTCTGTGTAGTCCCTGGGTCCCAGTGCGCACAAGGTCTGTTTGAGCCTTCTGAGTGTCTCTGGCGGAACCGAGGTTTGATTCTAAACGCGAATTCGCCCCTTCTACCGTCTTGCTGGAGCTTCTCCTTTGCCCTTGGATGTGGGGTAGCTCCTCGCAGCTGCTCCAGCGCTTACCGTCTTACTGGGGCTTTTCCGACCTTGGACGTGGGGTATCTCCTCTCTGCCGATTGCCACTCCAGTGCTGCCTAATTCCCACAATAACCTTATAAATCATTGCTGTTATAATTATTCCCATTCATAGACAAAGAAAGAGAAGCACCGGGAATTTCAGTGACTCATCAGAGGCTATTTGTCTGTAAGTCATAGAAGCAGAATCCAAACACGGGCTGTGGGTTTCTACCCAGGAAAAGGAAAGAAAATTCTACATACAAACCCAATTCTTAATATAATGATATTTAAAGTACTGGGTGAGTAAATGTAGTTTCTTTTTGACAACAACAAAATGAACACTTTTTTTCTTTTATTTTTTGAGGGAAAGCTTTCCTTTTTAAAATATTTGTTTGGCTGCCCTGGGTCTTCGTTGCTGCATATCAAATCTAGTTCCCCAACCAGGGATCGAACCTGTGCCCCCTGCTTTGGTCTCTCGGGGTCTTAGCCACTGGATGCAAAGGGGCTGCACGGCTGCTCCCGTTTCCCTGCAGAATCCATTGGTTCCCAGACTCACTTTGCCTAAAAGAAAGTCCACCTCTCAAGGCAAAAAGAGTCTGGAAAATTTTATGACTTGCCAAAACCAAAACAAGTTGACAGAAACCTTATTATTTGAGGTAATGGTAACTCCAAAGAGAACACTGTGAGCTTGCTCCCCCTCAGCCCCACCCGAGGTGCATAATCCTGTGAGCGGTCACACAAAGAAGGGTTTGAAGGGAGAAGACAGAGGTGCCTTGCTTACCATCTGCTGCAGGACGTGACTGCCTGTGGGGTTGTGGGTAGAATTCTCATCAAGAACATGTTCTGAGGAAGGAACAAGTTCTCATTCAAGACACAAGTCATGATAGATTCCTGGCACATTTTCCCTTTGCCCTAAGCCTTTATCTAACAGGAAATAATTGCATAACACTGAATATTGTGCAAAGCAATGTCACTATCATCAAAGTGATTATATCAAAGATTGCGAAAGGATTAGGGTTCTTTCCAGAAGTTTTCTACTTTCTTAATATTAAAAATTATTTTGCAGGGAGGGAAGGATGGAAAGAAGAGATTATTAGGGAGGTTGGGTTGAACCTGTACACACTGCTATATTTTAAATGGATAATTAAGGACTGACTATATAGCACATGAAACTCTGCTCAATATTATGTGGCAGCCTGGATGGGAGGGGAGTTTGGGGGAGAATAGTTACATGTCTATGTATAGCTGAGCCCCTTCACTCTTTATCTGAAACTATCACAACATTGTTAATTGGCTATACCCCAATACAAAATAAAAAGTTTAAAACATTAATTTAACAATGAGTTATAACTACTTCCTAAGGAACCATACCTTAAAGAAAGTGAAGCCTGAAAGAGGATAAGGATATAGAACTATACTGAAGTTATACTACAAATTTGACTTTGGAATTTGGGATGTATTTTCACAAGACTGGGAAAATTTATTTTTTCTCTTTCTTATTTTTACTTTTCACCAGTGTGTGCTACCTATTTACTTTTTAAGAGTATATACTGCCTATATAATTTTCAATCACTTTTTCATCATAGACAAAATTATCTGGATATAAAATATTTTATGTATTAAAGTATGAGTATTAACTTCAAATATATAAATTCCAAACATGAGAACTAGAAAGAAAATTCTAAGGATAGATACAATAAATTTTAGCTGTTAATTGACAATCTAGAGAATTCTCATATGGATGAGCCAACTTAATGAACTTAAAGTATATATATGTCCTATATATATATATATGTAGGCTTCCCTGGTGGCTTAGATGGTAAAGAATCCGACTGCAATGCGGGAGACCTGGGTTCGGTCTCTGGGTTGGGAAGATCCCCTGGAGAAGGGCGTGGCAACCCACTCCAGCATTCTTGCCTGGAGAAGTCCATCGACAGAGGAGCCTGACAGGCTACAGTTCTGGCGTCACAAAGCATTGGACATGACCGAGCAACTAAGCACAGCATATGTATCAGAGGTATAGGTATTCAAATATTTATGTTTGTCTCCTCCTAATCAGATAAATCAGATTACATTTGTTTGAAAATATAAATTCAATTCACCTTAGTAAAAAGGAGTGTTATGCAAGTTGCTTCTCCCATTCAGCAAATTTCAACATGTATAACAATTAATTCCTCATGTTGCACTTCCTGTTGTTGATATTAGATTTAGGCTTCCAAGTTGTATCGTGTTAATAAAGTCTTAGAAAACATTCGACTTCCAAATATGCCCATTTCTGGTAAATTTATGGTCTACATTTTGATTAACAAAGATGTTCTAAGTGTAAGTATATAGCTATTTGAATGTTCTTCAAATATTAAGTGATTGTTTTACGGTCATACCTTGAAGTGAGTGTTATGACAAGGGACAAAGAAACTCCATGGAATCAGTAAAGGAGGAGAAGCATGGACAGAAGTAGATTTTTGTTGTTGCTTTTCATAAGGGATAAGGTAAGTGATCACCACTATGACATTGTTTTCCATTTGTGATATAGAGACATATTAATTAAAGGCATAAAGACACAGTCTTGGTCAAATGACAGAGACAATTTTCTTTAGATTTGGCCAAAACCTTTGCAGTAAAGAAACACACAATACCAAGTTGTCCTTGTAGAAAGGGGTGGGTAAAAATACAACAAGAGAAAGAAAAGATCATGAATATCATTTTTTTGCTTTAGTGAATGATTAGAGGAAATGTATAGTTAGCCATCTCCCACTCTTTGAGACCCCATGGACTGTACCCCATCAGGTTCCTCTGTTCATGGAATTATACAGGCAAGAACACAAGAGTGGGTTGCCATTTCCTCCTCGGGGGATCTTCCTGACCCAGGGATTGAACCCAAGTCTCTTACATCTCCTGCATTGGCAGGCAGATTCTTTACCACTGCACTACCTGGGAAGCCCATTAATTCATATGGTAAATTCCAAATTTGAACAGCACCATCATGTTTGCCTAGTAAATATCCAGAATGTAATCAAGAGCTCTAACACTGTTGTATCCATATTAAAGAAGAGGCATCAGTGGGAAGCTGAGGAAAGAAGCTGGACTAAGAGTGGGAAAATTTGAAATGAAATGTGTTGTTATCAATTTGGAGGCAAAGCATTGTAATGAAGATACTGACGTTGCTAGCCTTTATACAACTAATGACTTTAATTAATTGCTTCTCTCTTATTGAGGTTTCCTTTGTTGGGGCTACAAAATTTAATTCATAGGCCAGCATCTTTCTGTTACATGAATTCCTCAGATTCAGTCTTTTGATGTATTGCAATTTTCTTAAACTCCAAAATCCTTCAGTTATCAAAATGATTGCTAAGTGACTAAATATTGCTTTAATGCTTTCAATTTTAATGCTTTGGCTTAAATTTTGTGAGCACTATACTCTGTTCATCCCTCCATTCTATATGAAAGCTCTTTAGATAGAGCTTATGCATGGCTTTTCAATCTACAAAGCAGAATCTGTTTTCTTGACTGTCTCTCTCAACTATAGTGAGATCCAGACCAAAATATTTGAAGAGAATGCTACTGGACAGGATTTCTTCAAATGCATTAGCTTTGAATTAAATATTTCATTCTAGTTGTAGAGATAAGAATATTGTAGGTTCACAAAAGATACCCGTATAACTGACTTTCTATGGACAGATATCAGACTCTTTTACAGTGTGTGTAAATGTCTTTTAATTTTAAAAAAAATAACATAGTCCTCAGTTTAGGATGATGTAAGTATAGTCATAAATGCTGACAAGGGAATGAGGACAGAAATTTGTCAAATGGAATAAGATAAACAAATGAAACATTCCCATGCAGAGAAGGAAAGTTTTAAGAAAGGAAAAAAAAAGAATTTAAATAATGATATAAGAAAGTGACAAAATGAGAGCAATAAACAAGATTGGCTTCTCCAAAAAAAGATATGACAAGTGATGAATGAAAATTTTGAGTGATGCCAACACCTAGTTAGTAGGAGGGATTTTTTCTTAACAGCTTTATCAAGATATGTTTTACACATTAGAAAATTCATCCATTTAGAGTATAAGTCAGTGACTTTTAGTATATCCAGAGTTTTGTAACCATCACCCTAGGAATATTTTCATTATCCCCTCCAAAAATCTATACCCATTTGCTGTCACCCCAAAGCCCCCATCTCCCAAGGGAGGGATTTTTTGATAAAACAGCTATTGCGTATTTATTTGCTCCCTAGGTTCTCCAGACCAGACCAGCCTTCATTACATTCTTTGCTAAAAGAGCAACTATCGACCAGAAGGAAAGATCAGTAGCAATCAGGCCCAGAGGAAACATGGTCCTTGTGCAGACAGGTATCCATATACAAGCCTGGGCAGAAACTGAGTGTATCTGTTTCATTATGCTTAGCTGCTATCATTTATAGGATATCTAAATTGGTGGTACTCGATACAAGCTTGGGGCTTCCCTGGTTGGTAAAGAATTCATCGGCAATGCAGGAGACCTGGGTCTGATCGCTGGGTTCGGAAGAACCCCTGGTGAAAGAAATGGCAACCTACTCCAGTATTCTTGCCTGGAGAATTCCATGAACAGAGGAGCCTGGAGAGCTACAGTCCATGGGGTCACAAGAGTCAGATACAACTCAGTGACTAAACAATACATGCTTAGCAAATCAGTCATATTAAAATCCATTAGAGAGTTTGCTTAAAATATAAAATAAAAATATAGATTAAAGTGCTCGCTTCAGCAGCATGGACACTAAAATCCGGGTGTGCCCCTCTGAGGCCCATATTTGGGCCTTCCCTGGTGGCTCAGACAGTAAAGAATCTGCCTGCAATGCTAGAGACCCAGGTTCAATCCCTGGATTGGGAAGATCCCCTGGAGAAAGGAATAGGCAACCCATTCCAGTATTCTTGCCTGGAGAATCACATGGACAGAGGCTACTGTCTATAGGGTCACAAAGAGTTGGACATGACTGAGCAACTTTGACTCACTCATACTAAAATTAGAACAATACAGAGAAGATTAGCATGACCCCTAGATAAGGAGAACACACAAATTCATGAAACATTTCATTTTTTCACAGATATATGCTTCTCTTCTATACATTAAATATATGGCATTCCTCATGTCAATCATACTAAAAAAAGGGGACTTGAAAATAGATTATGTAGTATAAAGGCTAAATATTTAGTTTCAGTAAGTATGGAGTGGGGAGCCTTGGAAACTGTATTTTTAAAGAGCTCCTTAGGTGATTCTACTACTATTCAACATAGTTTTGGAAGTGTTGGCCACAGCAATCAGGGCAGAAAAAGAAGTAAAAGGAATCCAGATAGGAAAAGAAGAAGTGAAACTCTCTCTGTTTGCAGATGACATGATCCTCTACATAGAANTAAAGTACTACTCAGAAGGCAGGGTCCTAAAACAATAAGCTGAAACCAGTAACTAAAATAAAGACCACAGAAACAAGAGAAACAAAAGTATTTGGCTTTGTATCAAGAGTCCTTTATGACAGCTGGTCATTACAGAATCTCTAGGAAAAATCTCAAGTAGTCCCATGATTCCAGAGTGGTTTCCTATCATCATGGCCCCTGTTAGCTCCAGAGGAGTATGCGACTACAACCCTTCGTTTGGGAACTTTAAGCTAATAGAATGTAAAGACTGGGCCTGAAGAACATTTGATTGCAAGTAACTATGTTTGCCTTTAATTGACTACTTTAAGATTTCCCCATGAAGTTTTCAAACTAAAAATCCTGAAGTTTGTTCTGGATGAACAAACTTGCTAAGTGAGCAACTTCCCCCACTTTTCTATTTCTTCCTAACAAGTGTGCCTGCCTATAGTCACAAATTACATTTTGGGAAGAGATAAATTAAAAGATTTGTGCCAAT